TTGCTTGTCACTGTTTGGGCTGGTATTTTCCAAGCCAAGCATCTGCCTCAGGTTTAATTTTTGGCAGTTTAATTTTTGGCCAGCTAAACCACTGTAGTAATTTTCAAGAACAAGGTTAAAAAAATATTTTGCCCATATTAAAAAATAATAATCTGGTTGCTTCATTCAGAAGTGCTGGTATCCCTGTTACAGAAGGAATTTGAAATGGAACACCCTCACTGGTCTACTTTCATCCATGCACCTTTGAAGCAGCAACTTGGAGTTTGGCAGCACCTCTGCTGTGGTTTCACAGATGTGCATCCAAATGTAAAAAAAGTTAAAATACTCAAAGAAAGAGAAAATCTCAGTTTGCATGTGATTGGTTAAGAATAATTTACTTTTGTCATTTTGCTGAGTTTTCCAAAGGCCAGCCCAAGCTGGCAGAGCACGCTCTGCGTTTGGGGGCTTTGCGGAGCGGCTGAGTACAGTGTGTGCCCAAGTGCTCCTCCCTTCCTGTGACACCTGGGTGCCTCTCCTGTGTGCAACACCTCCCTTTCTCCTGCTGAGAAAAGGAGGATGGGTCACAAAGATGAAAGAGGTTGGGAGGATGCTTCCAACAGAAGGGAGCAGAAAGTGAGAAGGAGGAGATGAAGATAGTAGAGTCCAAGGAGACAACTACTGCTGACCAGTAATAATTCTCCTAGGACCTCATGGACAGGAATCAGTTGTGGAAGCAGTTCTGCATGACTAGAGAAAAAAAATATGCATATTTACATAATGAGATTCTGCTATGCCATGGGAAAAGGTATGATATATTGGGTAAGGAGATTAATAAGTGTCATGGAGATAAAGATAAGATGCCAGAGGAAACAATTAATAAAAAATAAGAGGTTGGATGTGCAGCTAAAGCAAGGGAAACTAGGAGATGAAAATAGAGTGTGAAGTGTGTAAGAAGGCAGGAGCCAGGAAATGGAAAGATGGATAAACAGTGTGGAAGAGAAAGAACTGGGAGTTACCTTAAAACAGCACAGAGGAGAAAGAGAAGGCAGGAGCCAGGCAGAAGGAAGAGCATCAAGGGAAAGAAGGGGTGTGAGTACAGATTGAACTCTGAGACTAGGCTGATCTTCTGAGTCAGACATAAATGCAAATTGTGATTTATCTGTAATGGTATAGGAACAGGAATCAGGTATGACTAACATCTATAGCCACATTTTCTTTTCTTGTTAGAGATCTTTATCGCATATTCTGGATCTCGTGAGCCAGAGCCCTGGAGTTAAGGTGACCGTGTGTCATTATCTGTTTATTTTTCAGGCTTCCTCTCTCTGATTTTGTTAACATTCAAGTGTCTCATTTACAATATATGGCTTTTTTTTTTTTATCATAGTAAAAAGCATGTCTGCAAAATCCGTTTGAAAATGCTACAAGTAATTTTGAAATGATAGGTAGGGCTGCCAGCAGTGTCTCTCACTGGCAGAGGAAAGCAAGGCCCTGCATTCAGCCTGATGGCCTTTCACTGTGGGTGTTTGTCCTCTAAGAGGGCTTGCACCATCCCCATTACATTGTGTGTAATTCATCACAGGGGTCAGCAGCACTGTCTTGGCAATTTTACCTCTCACCAGGCAGGAACACGGCCTGGAGATGCAGGAGCAGAGTGGGAAGGGGTTGGGTGCTGCCCACGGGCAAAGCAGAGCAGGAGGTCACTGAGCAGGAGCCACGGAGGGGAGTGGGAGGTGTCCTGCCCCATGGTACTGCTGGAGCTGCAGACACCAGTTCTATTCCTCCAGTGGCAAAAGGGGAAAACATTGAAATTTGCCCCTACCGTGGTGATTTAGCTTGCAAGCATTTGCCATTTATGTTAAATTAAATCTTTTTAATATAAATGGCAAATGCTTCTCCACAAACAGTGTGTTTGGTCTGTCACATTTTCTGCAAGCTGAAGGCAAGCTTTGTAAAACTGACCTTTACTTTCCTTTTGAGAATGAAAGCAGCACTGCTGTCAGAAGATTGAGTTGTTGGTGTGTATCAGGTGATAGAAAAAATTACTCTGCACAAGGTCTGACATATTTTTTTAATATATACTTGGGATCTGCAGATGTTGATTTGCTGTCTGTTTATCTGTTTGTCATACTGATAGCTTAAATCCACAAACTGCACTTCTAATAACAACTCCTAGGGAGAAAGTTGCTGTTACTGCTTGGTTCCTCCTAAAGATTAAACAGAGCTAAAAGTTGGTACATTGACCTCTTGCTTCTTGAGGCAGATCTCTGTTCAAATTCTGACCTACGTCCTGGCTAAAAATGTGTTCAATTTTTTCTTAATTTGTAGTAGATACTTGTGTACATTACAAAATCATCTTGCAATTTGGCAAATTAAGTTGTCTGTGGTTAGCTTTGGAATTGCAGAGATATTGCAGTGCACTGCAGCATTGCATAATGAGGTTCCCAAGACTTTCCTTACTCTAGTGAGTAACAGCAATTCTTATCTCTAGCAAGCATCAGATTCGTCCCATTTTTGAGAAAATAATTAGTATCAAATATACGATGGGCATGTTATGCCTTGTGGCTGCAATGTTGTTTCAATTAACTTCCCTGCATATACCACAATGAAAAGTGTCAGCTTTTTGCCTCAGAGGCCTATAATTAGATTAAATTAATATTGTTAATTATCTACTACCTTCTTTACACAAAACAGTATGTTTCCATAAATTAAAATGCTTGTACAGGAAGGAAATTGTTGTTCTCTGTAATACATGCATACAGTGCTGGATTGTGAATACTGTGACTGTATCGAAGTGTAGCACAGCTCTTTGTCTGCAGCCCTTATTTTACAGGAGCTAAAACAAATTACATCTCAAAAATCCACAGACAGCACACTATTTTAAAGCATATATATTGGTGCAAGGAGGTGATATCAGTAAATGTTACAGTGCTCCTGAAACAAATACACTCCTCTCTTTAACAGATGTTCTCTATAAAATTATCTTAGGGGGATTAAATACAGCTTTGTTTGTGTACCTACAGTCACACCATCAAGGACTATGTTATGTACAGAGAAAAAAACTGCTTTTTCTAGCAGAGTGTACTTCTCCTTTCAGAAAAATTTTAAAAGTCCGTTCTATAGGAAGCATTTGCAATTAACAGCTTGGTTTCCAGGCCTGTGTATATTCCAGCTGGTGTGGACTGAACACCTCCTCTGCCTGTTTTCCAGCATTACTAGATGCAAGCAAAAGTTCCTGACTGATCAATTCAGTCCTATCCTGGCATGCCTGATTTGGAAGTGCAGATTTTCAAATGGTGGTACATCACCTCTAGGGTAACATATCTGAAGCAGAAAGTACTCTTTTTTGATTTGACAGAGTGTATCCCAATGTCCCTATTTCCATCAGAACAGATGTTAATAACTTCAGGCCTGAACATGGATCCTCCCTCACCAGAAAATTACAATTAACTTTAGCAGAAGCTCTCATTCAGGCCTGCAATATACTCCGCATATAAATGTGATCTGTACCCAGGACTGCTCTTGTGTTTCATTAAGGTCAAACCCTGAAAAGCTTTTGAATACTCAGTGTTCCTACAAGGCATCGCATTTTATTGTGGTGTGTGCTGTGTATCTTTTCCTTTAAATGTTCATTAGCTCCGTGTATGTAAAAGTGTTCATTAAAATATCATTGTGCTGGTAATAATCTTAATATTGAGGAGTGAAGAGGGTTGTGTTGCAGTAGAAATGCTGCCCCGTTTCCTGCTCTCAGGGTGTAACAGGAGAAAGAAAGACCATCTTGATAGGCACTATCTGCTGAAGGAAAACTTTCAGAGGAGCTGTGCATTGACTTTAACCTTTTAGTGGCTGCACTGTGAAGAAAATGTTTCAAGCTTCCTACCCCGAATTAGGCTTCTTTAATTTAACAGATTCATAAATGCTAGTGGCCCTTATAATTACTGGTACAAATATCAGAAAACAGTTACAGAGGAACAAAGAAATGCAACTGGAAACATGGTTCAGTGGTCTTGTACTTCCCTGAAAAGCTGAATATACTTTTGGCTGATTCACTTTCTTTCAGAGGGAATTCACCCTTTCTGGCAGTTTGAGTCTGGATGCACCAACGGCACAAATAGTATCTGGGGATGAGGAAATTGGCTCAGGGTCCTCTGTGTGTCAAACTGAAATTTGCCACCGAGCTCTCGATTTTGTCTTCTAGCCCCTGAGAGCCCCTTGTTTGGTCAGATTCAGAAGCCATTTTAACACTAGATTAAAAATAGAGCCATTTAATTTGTGCTTTTGCAGGTGCCTTGCCCAATTCCATGCTTTCCCTGCATGACTTATCTTGTAGGATAAGCACTAATCAAAGGTCAAGGTTATTCTGAAGTATCCAGCATAGGAGAGGTCTCTTGTAGATCCTTAAGCTGAACTTCGCACAATTATAACTGATACAGTGCTGAAAGGTAATTCAAACAGGGGAAAAGTACAAAATGACAAGCAGGAACCTTTAGCACTGTAAAATGTCCCTTGTGATTTCTACTTAGTGCTTCTTCAAAACGCAGAAGCCATTTTACCACTCAGAGCCATGGCAGAAGTGAATTATTATTTTTTTTCCGAGTGAGGCTCTACAGATCAGGGCTTCAGAGCCAGGCTTGGCACATCTGGCTCTCAGAAATGTGCCATGTACTTTACATTCGAAGATAATTTTCTCGCCTCTGTGACACAGAAGCCAAGAAGCGTGGATTTTTCCTCCCCCCTCTCTCGCCTGCCTGATTTGAAAATGTAACACGAGGTCGTGAAAAGCTCCGGCTGGGAGATACACCTTGCTACCCATTTTTTTAAGGAAACCTGGAGACAAACCTGCTCGGTTTTGCTTTCTACGTGAGCTGCGGTGGGGGAAGATGCTTCTGCATCCCTGGACGCGGGGCTGGGGGAGGAGAGCCCGGCGCAGCAGCGGGAGCCCCGCCGCCGCCGCCCGGCAGCGGCCACAAAGATGCGTTAGAAACATCCCCCCGGCAAGACGTGGGTCCCTTCTCTGTACTCACTGCGGCTGCGAAAGCACCGGAGTTTCGCTGAGGAGACTCCAGTCCCGGTTGCGGGGAGAGGGAGGAAAGGGAGGGGAAAAGAGAAAAGAGGGGAAAAAAAAAACGCACC